TCTTCACAGCCGGCAGCGTCTCCGTCTTTGTCCAGCGTGAGTTGCCGGCACGCAACACGCTACCGTTGAACCTTGTCTCGACCCCTGCGCCAGGCACAACACGAACATCGATGACAGCGGCAAGGGATTGGACCGCGCGGCCTTCGAGATGTCTCTCTGTCGCTGCTGACACGGGATGTTTACCCCCCGCGACGAGAGCCTTGGCAAGTGCAAGAGCTTCTTCCTCGTCGGCACCACTCGAAACCTCCTCGGCCACCACGTACAAGTCGCCCTCGGTGATGGTACCTGTCTTGTCAAAGATGACATCAGTGCACTTACGAGCACTTTCAGTGCAGTCTGCTGACTTGATGATGATTCCACCTCGGGCAGCGATGCCGCCTGCAATGACAAGGACCATGGGAACGGCCAGGCCGAGAGCACAGGGACAAGATACAGCAAGTACCGCCACAGCATACGTGATGGCGTCAGCAACAGCCCTGCCGGTCTTCTCGTTGCGTACACGAAGACCGATCACGACCCAGATGATAACGACAAGGACAGCAACGGCAGAAACTACTGGCACAAACCAGCTGGCCACTTTGTTGGCTAGGTCTTGAATCTTGGGCTTCGAATTGGTGGCCTCCTCGACCATCTGTGCAATATCTGTGACCGTGTTCTTGCCGGGGAGACGAGTGAGCTGGGCGGTGATGACCCCGTCGCCGTTGACCGTTCCAGCAATGACGTAGTCTCCCGATTGCTTGGGGACAGGGATTGACTCGCCTGTCAGCATCGACTCATCGACCTCGCTGTGGCCTGAGAGCACAAACCCGTCCGTCACCACACGGCTGTGCGGCGGAATCTTGAATGTGTCGCCGTACTGAAGAAGACGGGCATCAATCTCAAGGTCCTTGCCTTCTTCCACCAATACTGCATTGCTGGACTGCAGAGATCGCATGGACACAGCCCCAACAGCCTTGACCCTGGCATATGTTGCAATCAGACGGCCGAGAAGGATCAAGGTAATGAGCAGGGTACTGGTCTCGAAGAACTCCTTTGTTTCCAGCGGTTTGTTGGCCATGCGAAAACCAAAGGCAACAATCGAGTATAGATATGCTGCTGTGATGCTTATGACGACTAGCATGTCCATCTCGAGAACATGACTGAAAACAAGAGCGGAGAGCGCTGGTTGGTAAAACTCGGGTACCGCGATGAACTGCACGAGCGTTGCCAGGACGATCGACACATAGGCTCTGGTCTTGTCGTCAACGAGGTTGTCGCCCCATGCAAGTACCACGACCGGGATGGTCAATACAGCGGCCAAACAAGTCTTCAGTAGCTGGTCGAATAATCTTTTGCGCCCACTCGCCAAAGACGGGTCGGCCTGAGGTGGCGCGAGACCCTCCGTGCGATCGTGAATCTTGTCAAACAAATCGCGGGCGCCGATAAAACTTGGATCATACGACAGCCTCACGGTTTTCTTGTCGAGGATCATGGCATCCATGATTCCATCCGTTGGCTCGTCGACGAAGGCTCTTGCGGCAAGTCCCGAGGCCAATACATCGAGGTGAAAGTCCCCGCCTGCCAGTCGGGTTATCTGAAAACCAGTCGAACCCTCAGCAGCTTTGATGACGTCCTTGGCTTTGTTGACAGATAAGTCGACACTGAAGTCGGCGTTGCTCATGACGAAATTGACGCGTACTTCAGAGACACCCGGAGTAGCCTTGAGAATTCGCGTCAATTTGTCGCCGCAGCCTGAACAAGTCATGCCGTTGACGCTGACGGCGACCATCTCGATACCAGAGCACTCCTCGAGATCCTTCTGCTTCTCCCGGGATCCGCGGAGATCAGGGGGCGAGGCCCTGGCTGCGACATTTGGTGCGTTTGCTCTTTGTTTTTGAGTAGTGCAGCAGCTAGACTCGTTCACCTTCGCGGTGGTGATGGGCAAGTCATCGGTTTTGCTTCCGCATTGCGACTTGGCCTGCGGCTCCTGTCGGAGCGTTCTGCTCGTCTTGGAAGTCGATACACCGCTGGAGCAGGTCACCTTGTTTTTGGCCTGAGGAGCAGCCGCCCTACGAGCAGCACAGCAGGAGGTCTGGGTGAGGCCACTGTTCAAGATGCTGCGGCAGATGCATCGGGCTTGTTCGATGTATGCTTCGTAGCGGCTCATTGCGCTCTGGAGATGGGATGTACAAGCGGAGTTAAGGTGTTGGCCGTCTTTGTCGTGGGCATGGTGGTGGCCTTCGGCTTCTACACAGCTCATATTAGCACAAAGCACATCAACGGGACGTAATGTGTTAGGCACTTGGCTCTCAGTGTGGAGGACTCTTACCGTTGTGATCGATATCCTCGTCGCAAGCCTTCTCGCACTCCATGGCCGCGACGGCCCAAATGCATTTTTCTGCACAGCCTACAGTCAGCTCGTGATCCATCTGTGAAAGCCACGTAGCTCTCCAAACCCATTCAATCTGTGGAATTGCGCGGGCAAGGACATACCGTCACACTTTTCCTCGTCTTCGCAGCAAGTGGTTGCATCGGAGCTGATGCTGGGCGAGCGGTTCTCGTTGCCGCAAGCATCTTTCTCGCCGCCACAGCAGCCTGCGGAAGCCTTTGTCTGACTTTCGCAGGTGTTTGCCTGAGCCTTCTTATCACAGCATCCATCACTGCAAGAAGCAGCTGGTTTTTCTGTCGAACAAGCACCATTTTCGTCGGCGCAGCAGGCGTCCTCACATGATTTGGCGGTTTCTTCGCTGAGGTTCTTGTTCTTGGGCTGATCGCCACAGCAAGCGTCTTTGCAGGCGTCAGGGGCTGTTTTGACGGGAGCGACCTCCTTCGGTTCAACAGAACAGCAATTGTCCTTGCAGATATCCGAAATTGTTTTATCGAGACTGGTTTCCTTTGAATCAGAGCAGCAACCGTCTCGGCAGGCATTAGGGACTATGTTAACGGGAACAACCTCCTTCGACTCAACAGAACAGCAACCATCCTTGCAGTCGGAGGGAGCCGTTTTATCAAGGCTGGCCTCCCTTGGATCAGAGCAACAGGCGTCTTTACAGGCGTCAGGGGTTGGTTGGACGAATCCGACCTCCTTAGGCTGATCACCACAGCAGCCGTCTTTGCAGGCGTCAAGGGCTGTTTTGACGGGACCGGCCTCCCTGGATTCAACAGAACAGCAGCCGTCCTTGCAGCCATCAGAAACCGGTTTATCGAGACTGGTTTCCTTTGAGTCAGAGCAGCAATCGTCTTGGCAGGCGTTGAGATTTGGTTTAGTAGGTTTATTGCCACAGCAGGAACCGCCTTCCTTGCAGTCGTTGTCCTTGTCGTCGACCTCCGAGGTCAGAGAAGAAGAACACGACTTGGCGGGATCTGCACCAGGCCCAGTGTCAGTGGTGCCAAAGCAGCCAGTGCTGGCTGCAACAACGGCAGGAGACGAGTCTCCACGAGGGGCGATGTTATCGCCTGAGCAGCACCCGGAACCCATTGTGTAGTTAGGGTCCGTAGTAGTGTCGGAGCTCAGGCTAATAAATGCGTGTAATTGTGTTGATGATTCGTATTTTGAAAGGATTTGAGGGAAGCAACGAAAGATGGTAACCGAAGAGAGAGAGCAGAGAGAGAGAGAGAGAGACAGAGAGAGAAAGAGGAAAAGTGCAGTGGATGGACACACTTATGCAAACTCGCCTGGCGTGGTGGCTGTTGCTTCCCTCTCCGAATTTCAAGCTCCGAAACCGAACGCCGACAACCGGGTGGCTCTTTCCCAACACTTACTTTTCTGGCTTTTGCAGCCCCCGATTCGCAGGGTCCTATGGCTTTACTCTTCCAGACCGGGGGCGGCCCCATCGGCTCCATTTCAGCTGCAGCGGTGCAGCGGCAGCCCCATCACAAAGGCCTGACACGTCCCCGTGTGTGTGTGTGTGCGCGTGCGTGCGTCCTACGTATGGCTTCCCTTTGGTATCACCTCTGCCCTCTTCGGATCGGACTCAACATGCCCCGCCCCAGCAAAAGAACGGCCATCGGCAGGAGGGCATCGCATCTGAACCGTGTGTAACTTGCCCTGTCCCGAATGGGGAGCCAAAATGCAACGGTGGCAACGGCGTCTTTAAACGGGCCTGAAACTCGTCTTTTCGGCCTTAATGCAATTTCCCGAGCGGCGGGTTGAATTCACCGACGCGGCCGGGTGGACCTCCGCCATTGGACCTCCGATCCGGCCCCACTTGAATTCACCGAGCGATGACCATTTGCGCGCATGGCTCGGGGAAAGGCAGGGCGGAATGACCTATACCAAGTGTCCTTATACGCCATTCATCTGCACAATGCAGAGATACATGTAACATAACGATGCTTCTTGCACACCGCACATGATCGCTGCATCGCGGGCCACGGCATGAGTCGATGCGTACAGCTGCGCCCCCCGCCATTCATGTACAGGTGCCAGTACCAAAGGTCCCCCAAGGAATTGCCCTTACAGCCTTACAGGTCCCATGTGAGTTGGTTTGTCAAAACCACGTACAGCAAGGTAAACTCAACTCAAAAGTACCGCGAAAATATGCTCAGAAAGCCAAAGCTCTTGGCCTCAAGGGCGGCATCCATCAATTACCTCGCATGCGAGCGGAACAACAGGGCGTCACCGACCCAGCCTCTATCGGATTTATGTACAGTGGGGAAAGTGGCTCCAACGAGAGAGCTGTCTCCCAGACACTCATGGTATCACAAAAATTCCCTTCGTCCCCCAAATCTCCTTTCTTCTAAAAGGCCATCCCAACGCTGGGACGCCGGAGCGTCTTGGCGCCTCGCTCCTTGCCAAAGGTGCTGACGCGCTCGAGTGGCACCTCCTCGTGCTGTTTCGTCAACGGCGTGCTGCCAGGCGACCAAGTCGTCGTGGGCGCCGTCTGGCCCTCATCTTCGGACGTCCACGTCGAGACCGTCGCGGTGCTGTCAAAGCTTCGCCTGCCTCCTGCACCCTCTGGGGGCGACACGCACTGGTAGAACCCTTCGCGGCCCTTGACAGGTCGTGGCAGGTTCGTAACAGAGTCGAAGCTCATGTCGCGCGAGTGCTCAGCGGCAGCGGCCCCGCCAGGGAAGAGCCAGCTGGATACGCGAGAGAATGACTTCTTCTTGCGCAGAGGGGGGCGTAGCACCAGGGGCAGGGGCGGCGGTGGCTGGTGTTCTGGACCCTCGCGGCTCGGGGGTGGGGTGATGAAGGCCGCAGAGGCTTCGGCGAACGTCTTAGCACGACGGGGGATGCGCACAGGCAACTGCGAAGGCGCGGTACGAGGGCGCTCCTGGCTCAGCCGCTCGGAGAACGAGGGCGCGGCCGGTGGCAGGGCTGGAACGGAGGGCATCGGCTCCAGTTCTGATGGGGCGGGCCGTTAGCAGTTGTGCGGGTTGGAGTGAGATGATTCTCATGCAAATAAATCTTACCAGTGGGCGCCATGGAGTGAGCAGTCGAGGGCCGACTGCTAGCGGCGTAAAGACTCTGACGCTCAATGGCATTGTCGATCTCCCTCTGAAGCTTTTCAACCTCGTTCATGGCACTAGCAATGCGCACCTTCATCTCGGCAACGTTGGGTGCTGTGTAGGCCCGGGCTCTCGACTTTGGTGGTACCCTTGGTGGCGACTCTTCATAAGAGGTTTGCGGTGACGCCGTTGGTTTGCGGGGGATGTGAAACGACATAGAGGTGTAACTTAGTTGACGGTTCAAAGTGAAGTCGTCGACGCGGCTTTCCGGCAGCCGGGCCGCCGACGGCGCGGTGATGATGCTGGGATACTCAAAGTGCGGCAGGATGGGCGAGAGCTCATTGTGCGGCATGTAAATGCTCAGCTCAATCGGGCGGAAAGATGGCGGCAAAGGCGGCCGTCTAGATACGCTCTGCATGCGGCTGTACTGGGGAAATTGAAAAGATTCTGAATGGAGGTGGCGAAAGTTGGACGGGGCGGATATTTGCGGCCGGCGCGGTGCTGTGTTGGAGGAGGATCGTAGCCGTCTTCTCACAGAGAGACTGGCGCGGACGGATGATGCAAAGCTCTTCTTCGAGGCATGTCCCTTTTCTGATGATGTAGCGCTACCTGATCGGTGAGGCTCCTGTCCTCGACCGGCGTACGGCCTCGGCACGGGCAAAGGCTGGTCGCGTAGCACCCTCATCGATCTCTTCTCTGCCATTACTTCTGGGTGGGTCAACATGCGTTCACTTTCCGTCGGCATGGCTCTCGGGCGACACAATACGCAATGCGTCGTCGGATCCGTGTTCTGAGACTCACTTTGATCAGGCTTATCATCCAGACAGCCAGAAAGAGGTGCGCAGAGTTGAGAGACAGAAGAGCGCCATGTTGCGTAGGCTCCCTCCAGCATGCCACTCAAGCCCTTCATAACTGCTGGCAAGGTGTCGACATCCACATGCCTGGCTCTTTCTTCTGCAAGCTAAGAACACACGAACGAGAGAGGCGAAAACTGGAGCTGGTAGGGCGGGCAACAAATAACGAAAGACGGCCAGCGATCTGACGAACAGAATGAGAGAACCAGGGAACAGCTCAGGTGCCTAGACCCAGCAGCGGCGACGCGGCAGGAAATGCGAGACGGCAAGTAATTAAGAGTCAAGGCGACGCCGAAGACGAGTGCCCACTCGGGCTCATGTTGGATTCCCATTTCGACCTCACATCAGCGGCTTCATAGGCCAAGCTGAGAAAAGACGGTCGTGGGAGTTCGTCGTAGGGGTGCGCAGAGAGGCATATGATAGGCCGTGATGCAGCGGCCGCGGGCCAGTCGGCGCTTAGGATTGCAGAGTGTGGTCGGATTCGAATGGCTGGCGCTACACCATCAGATGGCCAGCCCCACCATGCCGACCCAGTATTGCCAGTCGTGTAAGATGCGGGTGATGGCTCAGCGAGTCGATGTCTTAGAATGCCTTGGTCTGGTCACTCGAAGCCACCAAGTCGCTGCCACAAGTCTCCGCGAAGGGGGTCGCGTGCGTGATTTAGATTGGGCGTCTGGCGAGAAGAGGGTTCCCCTTTGATCTCGACATGGATCCCATCCTGGAAGCCGTCACAACAAACAGCTCCCAGGAGCTCGTCCTGTAGAGCACGGCATGGCCTAAAACGTGCAACGTTGTCAGGAATTCCAGGACGCAGAGCCAATCCCCTGGCTGCTCCGAGACGCGGGAGACGTGCCCAGCGCGGCCGCGACCGTGACAGGGGTCCGCCGCCTCAATTTGCCGTGTTGTTCGGATCTGTCATCGCAAAACACGACCTGATGCTACACTCGGCGCCGGATCTGTTGTGCGCAGAAAAGCTGACTTGGCCGAACGTGAGAGGATGATGCATCAAAAGAAAAGGTGAGTGTGGATGCAGGGCATCGGCAAAACATTGTGGGAAGCCTAATGAGCAAGCAAAAGCCAGGTGCCGTTCTCCGGTAGGACAACAACGGCGCAGGCGGCGACGAAGTCAGAGAAGGCGAAGCCTTTGGTGTGGCCCCCTGTCTCTGCCTCTCCCTAATAATATCATCATGACGAGCCTTGATTGCTCGAGTCAAGGCTGGGTGCCCTCCGCAGGTAAGATAGGTACGTCAAGGTGGCTGAGAAGCCTTCTCTCACAGGCTTCGAGAAGCGGCTGATCGACCACGGATCGTCGAGAGCGATGGGCTTCCATCATCATCTGCCCATGGGGCTGAAGCTGAAGGTGTAGGGTCGGGATACAACCGATCTGGGAACTGACGATGGAAGCGGGCTGCGGCGGGCTTGGGTGCATTCAAGTGCATTCAGCTCGGGTGACGACCAGTGAGGGGTAGCACCCTCGCCATCACGTGCACAATCAAGTTACCTCAGCAGCCTCGAATCAAGAACGGGCCCACTTCGGCAAAAGTCGTTGTATCGGCGGAAGCTCTGGTTCCTGGCATGGAAGGTGGCTCCAGAAATTTTGGTGGTTGATGAAGAGAACACCTGGCTGTCTGAGTTCTGAGTGACGTACCTTTTTATTAGTACCCCAATCTGTCGAGGGACACGCACCAGAAGGGAATCACACCAGCAATCCGACCACCTGTCAAGTCGACCGACGCTGGGTCTCACGCTTTCTCTTGCAAGCTCATCCTTCCCTTTCCCTTTTTTGAGCACTCGCGTCAGCTATTCAGTGACCACCGTCAATCTCCGCCGACCAAGCAACCTCACGAACCGTCACCATGTCGATGCCAGGCCCGCCGCCGCCAGGCCAAGGTATTCCCTTGCAGCCTGGCCAGATGCCTTCTCCCGAGCAGATCCAAGCCATGCGAAGGCAGCTTGAGGCCGACGCGCAAAAGGCCGGCATGACCGTTCCCGAATTCGTCGACAAGCTGAGGGAGCAGGCCCAGGCGCAGAGGATGGCCGCTGCACAGAGGGCACACAGCAGGGAGGCCAGGAGGCCAGCCGGCAGCTGGCAGGCGCACCCCCATCAGCAGCATGTCCGCCTGTCTCGCCCCGGACCTCCTCCTGGAGCCCGTCCCGGTGCCGCTCAACCCATCACGCCCGGCCCACCAAACCCCGCGGCTCTGGCGCTCGCTACCTTCCTGCGCGGCCAGGAGCTGAAGCCGCGTACCTGCATTCTCAACGGCGAGCGCAAGGACATGTTCAAGGGTTCGTTTTCTCCCACTCCTCATATTGCCTCGACCCATTCTGACCCAGTCCCAGTCAAGCGTGCGCTGAGGGCGCTGCAGTCGCCCGCGTATGAGAAGGCCCGCAAGAAGAACCCCCTTCTGCCCGAGATCACCGACCGTGCCTCCCTCGAGAACACCTTTAAACTCCTGCCCATGTCGATGCTTGCGCTTCGCGTCAGCAAGACGGACGCCCATGAGGGCCACGATCACAAGAAACCCAAGCGCGTCAAGGGCCTCTGGACCGTCAAGATTGAGCCTCAGCAAGAGGCCAAGGAAGAGATGTACTACGTCTGGTTCTACGAGGGCAGCCAGGTCATGCGCAAGGTCTATGCTGCCATTGCCCTGCTCGTCATCTTCCTGATCGTCTGCTACCCACTGTGGCCCCTCAAGCTGCGCCAGGGCGTCTACTACCTCAGCTGGGGTTTCCTGTGTCTGCTTGGCCTCTTCTTCGTCATGGCCATCTTCCGTGTCATTCTCTTCTGCATCACATACTTTGTCGCATCACCTGGCCTCTGGCTGTTCCCGAACCTGTGGGAGGATGTGTCCTTCATGGACAGCTTCAGGCCAGTGTGGGCTTGGCACGAGGTGAGTTTGTCGTGCTCGACAATCGCTTAAGGATCATCCGCTAACAGGTATTCCCAACAGACTGCCAAGAAGGGAAAGAAGAAGAAGTCCTCCAGCGCTGCTCACGGCGGCAGCGGCAATGCTGGTGGCGCCTTCGCCGCCGCGACTGGTCAGCCCGCGCCCGCATCAGCCGTCACGACCGCGACCGACACGCAATTGGCGGCACAGCAACCTCAGCAGCGCGCCGGCTACAGCGCACCACAGGTGGAGGAGCTGGAGGATGACGAGGAGTAAAGGGGAGCGGGCTTTGTACAGTAGAGCAAAAGCATGGCGACGGACGGGAGGCGAGGGAATCTGTGTTCCACGGAGCATTTCTTTCTCTCGACATCTGCGAGGAGGGAGTTTGGCGTTTGTCCAACATGGTTTGTCAGACTTTCGATGCTCTGGCACACCAGGTCATCGGAAAAGGATACGGGTGCCAGTTTACAGATCGCGTTATACATGACCAGTGACCAGTGTGCTGCCATGGCCATGTCTATTATTCGAAGTGCACATGATGTCGCTCTTCCCAGGCTTATGTGAGACAAAGAGCACATAGCAACATGATGCTGTTTCGGCGTCGTTCGCAAAGTACGTACACATGCAGGGCATGGAGCTTGCCTTTCGTTCATATGGGCGGTATAGTAGGGAATGTGGCATAGAAGTCGGGCCGCGGTCGTGCACAGCTCAGATGCGGGTCCAAGCTTCCTCATACCACGCGGTTCATGGCTCCTACCTGCTCACCACTGGAACTGCGTGTTGGGATTTCACCTCAGGAATCATCATATCTGTCAAATCTCAACGGAGAACCTGTCCATCATCTAGAGCAGTGTACGACGCTGTTTCATCTCATAATTCTAAAGACAATTGAGGTCGGTTTGTCACTGACAGCTTCTCAAATATTCCTGTCGCGAGAACGCAGCTCAGAAGACCTTTCGTCGCACCCATCCACGAATAAGCTTGGTTAGCAGCACTCCCAGAGGATCCTCATGAGGTGAGTCCTTCATCAATTGAACCCTATTGCCCATCCATCTTCTTTTCGACCCTTACTTCCTTCAAACGATTGAGACACAGATGGTCATTTGAATGGTTCACGCTTCTTGTCGTGGCCGACGTAAGGCCAACTCATCCGAACCAAGGCCGATCCCAGCGTTCCTTTTCAATATCCTGTGCGACCCTTATACCAGCCTAGCACCATCCTCTTCGTGTGACATTCGCTGACAACCAAAAGATGGACTCAGCGGAGAGCATAATAGCGGAGCAAGCTCCAGCACACACCGTTAACGGCGGTGGCGCTGACCTCCCCGTTGCGCCGGAGAAGGTGAACGGACATAGTGAGCCGGTCGTCAAGCCTCCATTCTCATGGCTGTGAGTGTGTCCGCGCTAGTCAGTCAAGCCGTCCACTGACATCAGAAGCCAACCTCACGTTCAATTCGTTGTCATCCTGGTCGGATCCGACGAGATTCCGTTCGCCCTTCACCTGGATTTCATATGTGCTAGGTCAAAGTACTTCGAACAAAAGCTCCTTTCAACGCAGGACGAAAAGCCGTTCGAGCCCATCGTACGATTGCCCAACACGACGCCAGAAGTCTTCGGCTTCGCCCAAAATTTTCTCTACACCGGTCATGTCATCTCGGTGTCAGGCGAGACGCCCTCGTACGAGGTACTCATCGGCGTCTGGAAGCTTGGCCACATGCTGGATATCGATGGCCTCTGCGACAAGGCATTGGCCGCCATGTTGGATTGTAGGCGCATCACGAAGCACATTCCCGCGACGCCACTGCTCATCCAGGTCTGGGAGGATACCCCGGAAGGCTCGTCGATCCGCAAGCTGCTGCTCTCGTGGGCGGCCGAGTACATGAGGGCATCCGAAACACGGGCCGAGTTTGCCAAGTCCCTGCCGCAAGAGGTCCTCAGCGAGCTTGTCATCATCATGAGCTCGCTCGAGTCTGCACCTCCTCCAGCTCCGGAGCCCTCGCCGGATACAGCGCAGCCGGCGTCGGCACCGGGCACTGCGCCCCGGAAGAGTGTACATTACCTTGAGGACGACAGCGACGATGAGCGTGCACGCGGGGCGAAGAAGTCTCGTCGTGTGTCTGCCGTGGCACCAGCCGTGGCCAACACGCCTCCCGCTTCGATGGAACGTAAGCCCCCCACGGTTCGCAAGCCTGTCAAGGCCGCTCTGCCAAAGCGACGGTCCAGCGCCGCTGTGGCGATAGCAGACGGCGATATCAGTACGGAGAGAAAGGTCGAGTTTTGTGCAGATCTTCTGGAAAGGATGCTTTCTGGGCCAGGTACATACTCTCGTATTCGCGCGGCTAGGAGAAGCTCGTCACTAACCATATGCCAGGCTTTTGGACCCGGCTTGTTGGCCCTTTCAAGGATCCTGTTGATCCTGAGAAGGACCACGTGCCAGACTACTTTGAGAAGGTCAAGAAACCGATGGATCTCGCAACGGTCAAGCTCAAGATGGACCGACGAGAATACACCAACGAGAATGAGTTTGCAGCGGACGTGCGGCTAATCTTTGAGAACTGTTACACATACTGGAACAGAACCGACCCCATGTGGGCAGCTTGCGAGAAGTTCCAGAAGACGTTTGAGGATAAGTACAGCCAGATGACCAAGACTATCACCAAGCTCATGCGGGAGCCTGCCGACTGAAGAATGAACTGTTGGCACACTGATTGCGTATTGTCGCGGGTGCGAGGGCTTGTCTTGTTCGGTGCCTGAAAGGCGAAGGATTCCAAATGGCTTTACACTTTCTTCCTTTTTCTTTCCTCAACTTTGGCTTCAAAGTGTACCATCAACTAACTGACTGTATTCCTACCAAGTATACCCAGATCGATACGACGTCGAATGTACTTGTAGAGCCTGGTTGCGGTTTAGCAGTTTGCGAAATTAATGTGTTGCTGATTTCCGAACCGAACCACACGGTTCTTTCCACCCGGATTGACTGACGGAACTGTGAAGCGAGTGGCCTCAGGGCCAGAGGTCCTGAGGTCCTGAGGCAGTTCTGCGCTCGGGATGCATGGTGACAACGGCCCGTTTCAAGCTCCTTGCGCAAGCAAGCTAAGGTGTTTCTCCAGGGCGTTCAGGGCGACCGTAGTGTCTCAGCGATCGCTCTCAACACCCATTCGCAGTTGTCACGACCAAGGGTCACAGCATATTCGTCGGAGGGAGGCAGCGGAGGGCTCCCCACTTGTGTTACATTTGTTCGGCACACGACCGGCGGTTGATTGCCGTACAGCACGGCACAAACGGACGCAGGGCTCGGGGGTGATGAGACTGAGACCAGATGTCTGCCGTCCTATAAGTACCAACTCGGTGGAGCAGCCTCTAATTATTGTCATCAGTCTCAGCGATTGTTGACTCGTGGGAGGAATGACGAGGTGAACCAGTTGAGGGCCGTATGGGCTTGCAAGAATTTTCTTCTTCCCTTCGTGGAGGCATGAAAACGCGATCGCGAGATCAAAAGGCTCGTGGCTTCATTCGCGCCGTGGGGATCGTGGGGCCAGTAGTCGAGGGAGCGTGATGGTACTCATGCCCTCGAGACCTGAAACGCGGCAGCGCGACGGTGCTGGTCCTTGTTCTTTGATTCCCCATTGGTCAAAAGGAGAAGGAGGAACGACTGGCCTTGTACGCTGCAGACGCTGCAAGGTACCCGCTGGTCCGTGCTTCATGCGGCAGATAACAGCAGCCAGTCAGAGCGCATGACCCTAGTCGTGCTTGCAGGACTTCATCTCCTAAGATTGGTCCTGGCGAGACTGCTCATTTCCCCTTATCCCGGACATGATGGGGACGTGGCGACTAAGAGGTCTGGATTCGTTTCTTTTCGGTTTCGGCCCCCCGGCCTTCCCCCTCGAACTGTTGTCAAGTCAATGAAGTCAGTGCCCAGTGGACGACGATGACGATACTTGTGCTGGCCGGCGCTTGGGAGGGGCGGATCTGCAGGTTGCGTTGGATGTGATGGAGTGAGCGACGCTGCTGCTGATGTTCTATTTGGGTAACAACCATGGCACAGCTTGACATGGTGATGGATGAAGGGAAGGAGAGGCAAGTCTGACTGCCAACTCAGCAACCACGTTGTCGCACAGCACTTGCCCAACGCACTGGCAAGGTGAGGCGTCTGACCCAGAAGGAGGAGGCCAGGTGGTCCCCTTCCCCTGGCCAGTGTTTCGGTACAATCCACGGTTGTCGTGACCCTCACCTCACTGCGCTTGTTGGTCGCTACTACCTCTCGCTGATGAGTCCTGCCCAAGGGAGAAGGCCAGGCCGGCCGAGCTTGCCTGCGATTGTCTCGCCCATCAGACTATCAGACGGGACAGCGCGGCAACACAGCAATCTGGAAGTTGCTGCCGCGATTCTGACCACTCTCAGGGCGAGCGACAAGGAAAGGACAGGCAAAGACAGGGAAGGTGCCAAGTCTCGCCAGAACCCATGTCAAATTACAGAGGCGATCCTTTCCAGCACATGGGCAGCACGGGCAACATGGGCAACATGGGCAGCGTGGGCAGCGTGGGTGTGGGCGAAGCGCACTGCCCCTTCCCTGAGCCCGTGCTCGCCCATTTTCCCTCTTCACTGCCCAAAACCCCAGCACTGGGCCCGAACCCCCTCGTCTGTTCTCCGTTTCCACCTCCTGTCACCCCCATCGTCGTCAAACCTCAGGTCCCTAGGCTTTTTCAGCCCAGTCATTCTTTTTTCCCGCGACAGCAAACAGAGCTCATTTTTGGCTCATTCCTCTCATTAAACAACGCCAGAAACGACACGCTCTTTGAGAATCTCTACGCCGTCAGTCTTTCGCTTTCGCCCTCACCTACGACCTCATCGAGATACACCGTCCAAAATCACGCTCATCACCCTACACCATCACAATGCAGTACTCTCTGCATCTCTGAACCGTCCTGGTCCTCGCCACCCTCGCTGCCGCCCAGGAGTTCATCACCTTCACCCGCGCCAGCCAGTCCACTCGCGACTTTGGTCTCCTGCGCCGCCAATCTGATGGGTACCAGCCCGAGGACGAGGTCTGCGCCGGCGAAGGCAGCACTTGCGCCGAGGCTTGCGGCACCGGCTACCTTCAGTGCAGCTCCTCCGACTCTTCCGTCCACTGCTACAACCCGGCGGCCAACGAGTCTTGCTGCTCCACCGGCACTGGCAGTAAGTTCTTGTCAACGTGCTCCGTCGCGCGTGCTGTTCACTAACACCCTCTCAAGGCTCTTGCTTGGGTAATTTCTACTGCACCCACGACACCCAGGTCGAGACCTGGTGCTGCCCCAACGGTCTCAACCTCAAGGAGTGCGCCATCAAGTTTGGTGTCACCGGCGCCCTGACTTCCGACCTGCCCAAGGCCACCTCTACCTCCTCTGCCTACAAGCTTCCCTCCACTACCACCACGAGCACCTCTTCCGTCATCGTCGAGACCACGTCCGCCCCTGTCATCGAGTCGAGCACCGTCGCTTCCATCAACAGCACGACCCATGTGCCTGTCACCTCGAGTGCGGTGCCCACTAGCCGCAGCACCTTGATCGCGGCTGCCAACACCACCTCTACTCGCGCCTCGTCCACCTTCCACTCTGCCGCGCCCACCGTCCTCGAGACGACCGCTGCGGCTGCCCCCTCGCCCAGCCAAGTCAACCAGGACTCTGCCGCGTTGGCCAACGGCCCCGCCAGCCTGGCCCTTGTTGCCAGCATGGCCTTCCTCTTCGCCCTCTTTTGATCATTGTCCGCTCATATCACTTCGGAACGTTGGGTGACCAACGTGTCACGACTGATGAGTCTGACGATAAGGAAAGGCGCTGGCGTGATGGGCACACAACACATGAAAAATTACGTGCATTGTTGCGATGTTGTTTGTTCGGCCTTTTGTTTGAACCACCTATGATTTCCTCCAACATGTGGAGCGACAACTTTTACGACATCCTGTTTCTGCGATAGCACTGGTACTACAGCTTGTACGGCAGGGCATAGGAGGAGGGGATTTGGAGAAGAGGTGGTTGGATTGGAGCTTTTTTGTTTTCCGTGCGCATATACCTTGGGACGCGATGTTGTACCTACGATTACGATTCCCCCCCGGTGAGGCTGTTCCTCGCCCGTACCTATTACCCCTTAATACTTCTCGCCCTGGTAAAGAATAACATCACGGCATTGCACACATTCAAGTGTCGTTCCCTTATGCTTCTAGTCGTGTCTTGGTGGACCCTACAATCCGGATCAGCAGAACTGTCAGGCGAGGCTCCACATTCCAGAAGGCGTGCGTGTTGGCATTCACCCCTCTGAGGCATGAACTCTACACGCCAGTTTCTATTCCACATTCATTCCGGCCACTTGGGGCTGCCTGTTTACAAATGATCAGCCACGACAGTTCTAGCCGGCGCTTCAACACGCGGAAGGCGTCAGACTGTGTGTACGTCACAGAACCCAACGAAGCATGCGCTTTGTCCAACTGGAGTCCCTCCGTGACATTCCCACACCTGACGTGACCTTGGGATTGACGTTAGTTTTGCTCCACGTTACATTCTCATTTCAACCCCGTCTGCTGCTCCTGTTAGACGGAGGCTTCACTCTCCCGTGGGTCGTGTTCGGTTCCTTATCGCTCTCGCAACGCTTCCATCGCGTATGACACTTGTCTTGATCGTGCCTCATCTCCCATCGAGTGGCTTTTGGAAATGGCTCGGGAATTGAAGGCCATATAGGGGATCAAGACTCCGAGGAACGCACGGCTCCTTCGCCTGTGGATGAAATGATGCCTAGTCGTGACCGGCCTGCTCAGCAGACGGTGAGCGGATGGATCTAGGCCGGTCTTTAAACAACATGACGAGAAGCTTGCTAGACCTCGAAGCTGTGTTTCCGTCAGCTAGAGAGCACAGGTGTCGGCAAGCAGTCTCGTTGGTGAGCTTGGGGCTGCGGCGATCTGGCTCACTGCCTTGCCTTCAACCTTCTTTTTAGGGTTCAGCGCCATGGGGTGAGCCGGTTCCCACGGTATTCGCAGTAGATAGCGCAGTCATTTTGCCGCGTTATCACCGCCGAGGCGTGGCTACTATCAGGTGTTTGGATGTTGGCATTGTCCGTTGTTGGGATGGTGAAGATCAGAGGTCTCCAATGCGAGACATGACACTAAAGTGATAGATAGGTATATTCACATCACTCATGAGAGCATGTGCAAGTATTAATATGAGTGCTACCCAATTTGTGAAGTCGATGAAACGACTGCCGAGATGTCGACCACAATTTGCTACAAAGTCCTAGAGCAGGTGCAAATGGCATGGATGAAGTCTGCGCGCCGAAAAGCTTTATCGCCGCGGGTTCCGCGTTAGTTGTTTGAACGAAACTTTGAGATAGAGGCCTGAGCTTGACAGGCGAACGGCATTTGGCTTGGCCGCCTTATACGCCACCCAAGTTCGGCTTCGGCGTAGGGTCATCCACGGTGGAAAAGGTTTTCAGTAACAAGGTGGAAGACGGCGAATGACATTATACGCCAGTGGCAATGGTGCGCTTTTTGATTTACATAAATGCCTTCGCGATGATGAATTGGTGGTCAGAGAAGTGGCTGACGCCTGGCGTTGACGTCCCCTCGATGCCTGGTTGCAAACTGCCGAAGTCTAATGACAAAAAGGAAAAGCTAGAGATATCGAGGACTGAATGATTTATAAAAGATACAGGCTCAGCGTCTTTTCATCGACTGTCTCTCTAGCCCTGGGAGCGCACACTGGGCATCGCAGGATTGAGTGGTTCACTTACACATGTTTGCCAAGAACCCGCCGGGAAAAAGGCATCTACCCAATCACATGCCTGGGTGAGAGCAACGACATCCAGAATGAACGACTCTGAGGATGCAGTTCACTATCGTGAAGTCGACCTCAGCCGTATAGAAGCACCGTCGACGCATAAGACATACATCATCTGCGCCTTTGCTGCCTTTGGCGGCATTTGTTTCGGGTACCAAACGGCTGTCATGTCCGGGCTCCTCGGCACCCCCTACTTCATCGAGCTGTACACCAATGTCGATTTCGATTATGCAACCTATGCGCCCGTTGACAAGAAGACGACCGAGTTCGGCCTTACCGCCAGCCACAAGGCGCTCATGACCAGCATTCTGGCTTGTGGTGTCTTGGTTGGAGCTCTCGTGGCTGGCGACATGGCAGATACCTTCGGACGGCGAAAGAATGTCATCCTCGGGAGCCTGATTCTCTGCGTTGGAAATGCCCTGCAGATGTGCGCCGAACACCATGTTGTATTGTTCGTGCTGGGGAGGCTGATCGCCGGCCTTGGCCTTGGCTTCATCTCGGCCGTCATTGTCATGTACATCTCGGAGATTGCCCCTAAGCGGTGTCGAGGGGCATTTATAGCCGCGTATCAGTTTTGTATCAGCTTGGGGGTTCTGCTGGCCAACTCGGCCGTGTACTCGGCCGAGGGTCGAGACGATAGTGGCGCCTATAGGATTCCGATAGGCGTCCAGTTCTTGTGGGCTATGATCCTAGGCATTGGCCTCGCCGTGTTGCGTAAAGTCCCTCCCCTCCCCCCTTTTTCTTTTGCACGGAAAGAAAACCATTAACGTTGGCAGCCGAATCGCCTCGATACTTGATTAAGAATGGTCAGATTTCGGAAGCCAAGAGGGCTTTGGCTCGCGTCCGGGGACAACCTATCGACTCTGAATGTGTACAAGATGAGATCGCCGAGCTAGTAGCCAGCCGCGAGTACGAGTTGTATCTCATCCCTCGCACCAGCTACATTGGCTCCTGGCTCCTGTGCTTCAAGGGTCCGATACGAAACGGCAGCAGTCCTGCTCGGCGCACGATACTCGGTATGTCCATCCAAATGATGCAGCAGCTGACGGGGATCAACTTTATATTCTACTTTGGCGTGACGTTCTTTCAGCAACTGGGCGCTGTCGACAATCCCTTTCTCATCGCGCTCATCTTCACGCTGGTCAACGTCTGCTCCACGCCCATCTCATTTTTCACCATAGACAGGTTCGGTCGGCGTCCTCTGCTCATCTACGGCGCCATCGGGATGATCATCATTCAATTCACGATTGCGTGCATCGGCATCACGGAGGGACGGCGCGATCAAAACAACCTCTTCGCTGTCAGGGCCATGATTGCCCTCATCTGCATGAACATATTCTGCTTCGCCATTACGTGGGGGCCAACCGCCTGGGTGGTAGTCGGCGAGTCGTTCTCCCTGCCCATGCGCTCGCGCGGCATCGGAATCTCGACGGCGTCAAACTGGTTCTGGAACTGCGTTATCGCCACGTGCACACCCTTTCTCGTCGGCGGGGACAAGGGCGAGGCGAACCTGGGGCCCAAGATCTTCTTCATTCTCGGCTCGACCTGCTGCCTCTCTCTTGCCTTTGCGTACTTTTTGGTGCCCGAGATGAAGGACTTGTCGCTGGAGCAGATCGAGATGATGATGGATGAGTCATCGCCTAGGTGCTCGCCGGCGTACAGAGTGCTCAAGGGGTTTACCCAGATGCGTGGCGACAGGGTGTTGCGCCAGATGCGGTCTGTTTCTGCTGATTGCAAGAGCAGCAAGTTGACGCCGCGATCTCATGTAGCCGAAGAAAGTGGTCGCTAATGGCTTGTCTGTAAGGTTCCAGCTTTTCTTTGGTGCGCGGCCGACGGGAGTCTGATGAGTCCTTGTATCATAAATATTCCCGTATGCATTTCAAGGCTGAGTGGTCGCCCCCTATCTTTGGTCTTTTGACATCCGGGACGGATGCGCCTTGATCATGCACTCACCATTTCGCCAAATGAGACCTCAAAGTGAAGTACTGGAAATAGACAGCCTGTTTCGGCAAATCAAGGCTTGCGAGTAAGCCAAAGAGGTTGTCTCGTCGATTCACGCAGCCAAGCAACACTTGTGAGTCGATTGAGCATCAAAGTGAAGGGTGCCCAGAGCGGCGCCTCTACGCTTTCAAGAAAAGGAATAAAGACGTGGCCAGTGCGACAGCCGATCAAAGCTCTGACCACGGATACGACATCACTTTCGAGCGTGTGCTGTAAGTATGTTGGAACCTTCATTGTGCCATTTCTTTGATGCAAACCTCCCATCGAAGTCTGCGATGATCGCAGCTCTCATGACATCTGTCTACATAGTGCACACCATGGGGACTATCGAACATCCAATTGGGGCGCTGGCGCAACGGTAGCGCGTCAGATTCCAGTTCTTTCTGGAGATTCCTGAAGGTTATCCGTTCGAATCGGGTGTGCCTCAATATGTTAACTTTTTTGCTCTTTTCCCTTTTGGGCAGGCCACCAAGCACTTGGAAGAATGAAATGACCTGTTAGAAGGCTCTACAGTAAGTGAGAGGCTTACTACATGACAGCGGGGCATGGGTGGGCGTCGATCTACTTGTAAATTGAGAGCTCTCTTATCTGGTGGGACATTTCTTTTGTCAATCGCTTGGCCACCTCTGCCTTTACGACGTGTGCAATCCGTTGTTTCGACCCTGGATTTTTGACCCGCTTCATTCACCCCCGCTTCAACGGACATGAGGGACCGGGTTTTGCCCTTTTCACCATCAAAGGGGCGCTGGCGCAACGGTAGCGCGTCAGATTCCAGTTCTTCTGGAGATTCCTGAAGGTTATCCGTTCGAATCGGGTGTGCCTCATTGCTTTTGCCGTTCCATGCATCATGCTTTGTACCCTTTTGCTCCTTCACGATGGTTGGAATTCGCTCATGATCCTGGCAGTGCGCTATGGGCGTGCAGAGTTGGGGGGCTGGCGCAACGGTAGCGCGGTAAGTGAAGGCCCTCACGTGGTGGTGGTTTAAGGCACGTTCTAATCCCCCCCAATAGTCAGATTCCAGTCATGGAGTGTCCTGAAGGTTATCCGTTCAAATCGGGTGTCCCTCATCTATCTTTTTGGTGATCTTGACTGCGGCCAGGGCGGGTCGCGCAGTAGTCTTTTTACGTTTGGGTGCTAACAAGTCCCGGTCCAAAGCTTCCTCTATCATCAAGCTTGGGAGTCAACAGAGGGTATCCAGAGAATTGTGGAGAAAACAGCTTGAGGGTGAGGTTGTGTTCTTTTCATGTTCCCCTCAGCCTGGAGTCGTTGAACGGAGCATCTGAGACCCGATCATGCGTCGTGCCCCTCATGCTGCGGATGCAATGTGGGGTTCGGCAGCCGTGGACATATGAAGGGCGTCTTCGACCCCTAATTCCGGCGTGAGTCACCTGGCGAGACGGCCGCGACTCACTGGACGGGGCATTGGTCTGCTAGCCTACGTGCGTGCCTAGGGACTTGATTCCTTACCTGAGGTGGTTGCGGGGACCTAAGGTACCTACCTAGGAAAGGTACCTTAGGTACCTAGGTAGATGGGCTGGGCAAGTTGGCCAGCAGGTGTCTTGGGTGATCTCCCTCCCCGAAAGGGTCCCTTGGCGTGGTACATCTCTCTCCTCTAGCTCCCGTCTGAGGAGGTACAGCCCGACGTCACTTGCCACTTACGGACGGCACACCAACACCTGCTCCCAAGCATTGAGAATCAAAACTTGACTCGGCGAGATGAAAATGCCAACGGGCCATCCATCAATTGACATGCTGCCGGGAGATGATAAAAGCCCCCATGGCCAGCATCTCCTCATTGTGCCACTTTATTGACCTCCAGATCGGCCGGCACCGATAAAAAGACGACGCTCGTTCGACAGCAAGCAACCCTTGCAGTACCGACAACCCTGAACCCCCAGCAGAGCATTCATCAGCAGCACCATGTTGACTTCAATTGCATCCGAATCCGTCGCCACCATCTTGTGCACCAGCAAGCAGACGCGCTTCGACATCAAGACGGTTGACTACCGCGAAGTAGGCTGGCCCGTCCTGCGAGGCTCGAAAACATACTGACACGCCCAGCTCGACATCGACGGACTCTGCATCACCGTCGCCGCCGGCCCAGCTTCGGAAGCCGCATCGGGCGAACCGAAGAAAAAGGTAGCCGCCTCCAAGGCAAAGGCGAAAGCGCGCGCCGAAGGCCTCGAGCTCCTGTCTGATGCCAAGCTCAGGCTGAAGGCTGGCCAGCGGTATGCCCTCGTGGGCAGGAACGGCTCCGGAAAATCAAGTGAGTCTCTCGTCTCTCCTACTCACGAGAAGACGCATCTCTTCTACTCACGAGACTACCTGCTGACGATGCGCCAGCCCTCCTCAAAGCCATTGCCGAGAAGCTCATCCCCGGCATACCCGAAGAGGCGCGCATCTCCATCTTGCAACAGACGGATGCCCGTGGCACCAACACCGACGCACCCCCGCCGGGGGCTGCTTCGAGTGCTGAAACGCCATCTCGTGAGCAGGGCTCGGTGCTCGAGGACGTCATTGAGAAGGCCACGGCGCGCTCCGATGTCGAGCAGGACATCCGGGCGCTGTCAGCCGGCATCAATGCCACGGATCCCATGGGCTCCGTGCGGGCTCTTCGCACCATCCGCCACGCGAGGAATCAAAAGCACCTCTTCCAGCTCGACAAGGATGCGCGGCTGCGAAGTGGCGCCCGCGGCATGGCGGCGCGTAAGGCCTTGACGGCCTTTGAGAAGACGACGGCCGAGTCCAAAGCCATGTGAGAATCTTTACTGTATGAGCCTGGCAGCAGAACTCTGCGAAACTGACACATTTCAAGGATCGAACAAGCAGGGGAAGACATCTCGCCTGAAACATTGAGGGACGAGACGCAAGAGGCTCTCGACATGATGGCAGACCTGCAGCTGCAGGTTGAGCCCACAAGGATGGCCGAGATCGAGTCTAACGCCAAAAAGATCTTGACCGGTCTGGGCTTCACCGACGCGTACATGGCGAAGCCAGTTACGAGCCTGTCGGGCGGGTGGCGCATGCGAGCAGCCCTTGCTACGGCTTTGCTGCAAGAGACGGATATTTTGATTCTCGACGAGCCGACCAACTACTTGGACTTGCTGGGAATCATTTGGCTACAAAAATATCTCGAGTCTCTCGACGACGATGACGCGGCACCGACTCTGATTCTCGTCTCCCACGACCGAGATTTTATCAGCGTCTGCACCGACTTGCTCATTGTCAAGGACAAGCAGCTGACCTATTTCCACGGAGATTTGCCCACCTATGAATCGTCCCTGTCTGAGAAAAAGCTCTACCTGACCAAGATGCAGGAGGCACAGAACAAGCAGAAGGCCCATATCCAGCAGAGCATCCAGAACAACATGAAAGCCGGCAAAGCGAACGACGACCAGAACAAGCTGCGCCAGGCCAAGTCGCGGCAGAAGAAACTCGACAACCGCATGGGCCTGACGGTCAGCGCTAAGGGCGGTCGCTTCAAGCTGAACCGCGACCTGGCCGGATACCACCTCACGGCGCGCGCGGAAATCGATGTGCCCCAGGATGAGCGGTCTGTGAGCTTCATCATGCCGCAGCCGCCGGACCTGCGCTTCCCGGGCGCACTGCTGTCGGTGGAGAATGCCACGTTCCGCTACCCAACAAAGGTGAGGACCAAGACGCCCACGCCGCCCGTGCTGCAGAACGTCAGCCTGACGGTGCACATGGGGGATCGCGTCGGCATCCTAGGCCTCAACGGCGCCGGCAAGTCGACTCTGATCAGGCTTCTCGTCGACGAGACAAAGCCGACCTCGGGCACGGTGACGAGGCATCCAAGGCTGAAGCTGGGATACTACTCCCAGCACGCGGTCGAGGCGCTGCAGGCGATGGGCCGCGCCGACGAGTCGTTGACGGCTCTGTCGCTGCTGACCAGCGAGGTGGAGGGCGAGCTCGACGAAGGCGAACTGCGGCGGCCTGCTTGGATCGCTCGGGCTGCCAGGTCGCACGGCATCAGACGTGCCCCTGACCAAGCTCTCGGGCGGGCAGCTCGTGCGGTGCGAGCTCGCCAGGCTCCTCTGGAATTGCCCGCAGTGCCTCATCCTCGACGAGGTGACGACGCACCTGGACTACGAGACGGTCACGGCCATGCGCGAGGCGCTCAGTGACTGGGAGGGGGCGGTGGTACTCGTGAGCCACGACCGGTGGTTCATGCGCGGGGCGGTGGAGGGCCAGATAGAGGACAGCGACGACGAGGCGGAGGATGACTCGGAGGATGAGGCGGTGCCGCGGCGACGCATGGTGTACAAGCTACGGGCCGGCAAGCTGAGCAAGCTGGAGAGAGGGACGACGGAGTTTGAGGAGAGCGTCGAGAAGAGGGTGGCCAAGCTTCTGAGGGGCTAGCCCTGGTCAAGGATCGACTTGATGTTCACATCTCAGTGATTGATAAGAGTGTGTGATCCAGCACAACAACCTACCTTCTACGTACTATGCGTCGCCTGACAGTCATGATTCGTGCCGTGACGGGCGGAGAACCGAGTTGCGTGCCATCAAGGAGAACCCGCGATCAAGGGATCGACGACAACATCAAACAGTGCCCCCTCGACGGTCCGGATCTCAAAACTGCCACCCACGGGCACCTCGACAATGGTGCCATCGACACAGACCTTGCGCCACCGCGCGTCCTCCTCCCGGACTGTGACCGTGAGGGCCTCAACCTCCTCGTACGCAACGTCGTCCATGGCGACGTGCCGGCCGCCGTCATACGCCGCCTTCATGATGTCCATGGTGCGCTCGCCGCCGAGGGCGCCGAACCGCACGACGCGCAGGCGGCGGCCGAGCGGCGCGCTGTCGGGCGAAATGGTAAAGGTGCGCTCGAGGGCTCGACACGAGGGTCGCGAGCACATAGCCCCAGGTCGCCGCCGCCACCGCCACCGCCATCG